ACTCTTTTTGGTACCTTTATTTTTAAAAATGAGGGAGCTGCACCAAGGAACCAAATTTCAAATAAGAACAATAATGATACTAATAATACGAATGCTTTGTTTACTTGCTCTCTAGGCATGGAGGTATGTTTTTTTGCCACCAGTGGGGAAATTCTGGTTTGAGAGGCCAGAGAGTGACATGATGGAGGATGCAGAGATGCACACTTTTACAAATAAAGGTGCCAGAAAGGATTCTTTGGAATGATGCCATAGGAGAACCACTTTTGCTTCCATAAAGAACCTTTTTGTTTTCTCAAAGAACTGATTAAAGGTTCTTTCTGTGAAATCACTCCAAGCTCTTTTTGTAGCTTTATTTTAAAGACTGCAGCAGAAACTCGACTAGGCTGGAAGGTAGAGCCCACCCAAAGCTTTAAGTCATTAGAAGTAGGCTGTACTGCATTCAGGAACAGATTTCTAGCTTCTGTAACTTGCAGGAAATGAATGATTTGTGCTAATGGTTTAGTGTGCAAAAGCTCCAGAAACTGAGCTGTAAATACATCCTAAAACTATCGGCGCCTTCTTTGCCAATAAGAGATAAAGGACGACACTTACATTAGGACGATATTTAACCCCGCTGCTGGATAAATTGTACCACATTTTACAAAAAATATATCCTCTAATTATGAAGACACTCCTTTTTTTTGAAACAGCAGAAAGGATGTACAGGAGTCCAGTGAGACTTGTGGAGACACCAGAGCTAATTTATGACACCATTACGGCCTAACAGATAAGAGGCCGGGGTAATTGCATCTGAAACCATTAACTTGGCTAAGGAAAATGTTACTCCTGTGTTGTAAAGGACTGAGTAGACTCATCTTGTGTGAGAAAGAACTGGAGGGTGGTTTGTCTTTTTCTTCTGTATGATGAACAGGTTTATAATGCTGTTAGTTATATAAACTTCATGAAAATACTGCTCTCCTCTGGAATATTTTAAAAGGAAATATGACATTAAAAGAGCTATTTTTCCAACATAAAACTTTTATGTACCATTGTTATGTGCACTCCCCTGTCAGATACCATCTTTGCTCTCTTTCACAAGACATTTTCATTTTGTTCTCCTTCTTTTATGGCTGTGGTCGGCACAATATGTACTGAGCTCAGCCCTGCTTTTTGTCTTGATACAAAATGAATGTGTTCTTTCAGTCAATATCAAATTATCATGCTGGTTTCATTGAATGTAATGGTACTGGCAAATTAACCTCAGATAACGTTCTAGAAGCAGCTATTTTGTGAGGTAATGATGCCTGAAATAGAGGCCCTGAGTGATTTTGTAAATGTGCTCCTCTTTGTTGTATAGGAGGCCAGAGTGCTGGTAACTTTTCTGTTGAGACAAATTCAACAATTTTCTGTTATAAAGAAGGGGTCACACAATAGGGTTCATCTACAAGATTGTCTGAAAAGCTTCTGTAGGTTACAGACAACCCATTTAAAATGACACACAAATTGGATGTGAAGCTCTGTTTAATAACTTTTCTTACAAGACCTTTTCTTAAGTGAGCTTTTTGGTAAACAGATTCATGTTTGGATTTTACTACATGCTATTGAAGAGCAGTAATTGTTGGGGAAAATACCCAGTACATACTTTTGGTATCTGTTTAGCCCCGCCCATTCACATTGAAGTCATAAGGAGTGTTTTAGCCTGGGATGCTCTTTGAATAAGGTTCAATACATTGCAGCTGATTAGAACAGAGCTCATTTACATATATCAGTCTTAAAGGCACAGCAACAAAAGACATTAAAGAGAGGCTGGAAAATGGTCACGTAAAATGAATTATGACTTATGGAAAAACTTTGTGGAAAAAACATAAAGCGTGACTGTTTTGGTGTCTGAACTGGCACAAACTTCATAAACGGAGTTTAATAAAGCACATAGAAAATAACATACAAGAAAACTGGTTTGTTTGTTTTGAAATGAGACTCACAATTCTGTGTTGACATGTATCCAAATATGGACAATTAATCTCTAGTTGCTTTTCCAAACATAATAGGTTAGAGAGAATCTCAGGGGCTTGACAATATACTAGATAAATATCACAAAAATAAAAGAAATTATACATACATACATTCTTTAAATGTATGTAGCATGTCTTCATGTGTCAGTGTTTTTCATGTGTTTAGCTGTTCACAAAGAGGTAGCTAAGTGTTGCACCATTCTTCTGGTGTTTTGATTGTATGTATACTAACAACAAATTAATGGCTGTCTTGCAGCATTTTGTGCCTTAAACAGTCCAGAAGGTTAAAGGTTGACTCTGATTGGTCCGTGAGACGAGGGTCCTTGTACGATCCGCAATTCTGAAAAGAATTTGCCATAGAGCAGGTTAGGTGTGCACCATCAGATGCCATGGTGATGTAGCCCAGTAAACGTGAGACACAAACAATATAGGAATTCCATGGTTAGATCCAACTAAATTTAAAGTTAGCAATAAACCCTGCTTTGTGAAACTTGACCCCAGCCCATCAGAATAAACACAGACCCATAATTTTTGCTTGTTGTCCTGTTTATTTACATACGGCATCAGTGCTGAACAGTATCTCCCTGAAGACCGAGAGCTTTACTCATTCTGGATGGATGAGGCTTATTACCATATTCTGTCCGTGCTCAGTCTTCCGGAAGGTTGCCTGGTTTACTTTACTAGTATCCCTCTTGTGTGAACTAAGTGGCATTTTGCTGCAGGGTTCTGACACTGTTGATAATGAATGTAGCACATCTGAGTGGAGATGCTGTACAAGTCAATGAAGCTGCCAGTGCTAAAATCTATCATGCAGAGAAAAGTCAGGAAGTAGGAGGAGCTAGATGTGTCTTTGCAGTCAAACCAGTAAGCTCAGGCCTGCCTCTGAACTTCTGCAGGCTCTAAACAGCATCCTACTGGTGGGCCCTCATCCATGTCAGTGATATTGTTTTGTAGGCAAGAAGGAAAAGAATTAATACTTAATTCTTAATTTTGAACAGTAAAATGTAATAAACGCTAAGATAAGCACGATTAAATAATAATGACCTGCGTACAGGGAAATAGAGTCTTGAACTCAGTTACTGTTTAAAGGGCTCATATAATGTAAAACTAAACTTCGCTTGCATTTTTGAAATAAAGGAGTTTGAATTAATATGTAAACATTGTCAAAGTTTCAAAATATACCATTCATTACCAAGTCCTTACTTATGAAGTCATGACAACCCATTTATTTACATGTATAGCCTACTGAGCCTACAGCAGTTTAGCCCCGCCCATTTATATTGAAGTTATATGGAGTGTTTCAGCTCTGACTGCTTTAGAATGAGGCTCAATACAGACCAGCCAATCAGAACAAAGCACATTTATATATCAGTCTTAAAGAGACAGTAACAAAAACAGCTTGTTTAATTCTAAGAGATAAAGAGAGGCTGGAAAATGGTTATGTGAAAATGAATAATGATGTTTTTGGTACATAAAACCACACAAATGTTACATTAAGTGTGATTCAAGGGGCAAAAATAAAATATAAGAAAAATGTAGGATATGGGTCCTTTAAATAGGTTATATTGTCTGTATGAATAAAATGAAATAAGTCAGTTAAAAAATAGATACAGCTGGTTGTAAGTGGCACATGGGTTGTTGCTGCTTTCTTATTTCTTCATAATCTTCATAAGAGTTTTTTTAGCCAATATCATGATTGGCACAAACAAACAAACAAACAATTAATGAATGATTCGTGGTGCCCCTTGTGGCTCAGGGGGTCCTAAGCGACTGCTTATGCCACTTATAGCAAAAAACTGCCCTGGATAAACCTGAGGGAGGAAAGGAGCATTAGCGACCTGAGATTATCACAGTATGTGTTTACATAGAGTACATAATGAACTGCATTTAACCTATACTCATTTAATGCAGTTACTCAAAGTATGTTCTCTTGATCACCGTTATCTCTGACTTTGACATCACCAGCTGGCTCTCAGCTAGCCCACGTCACACTGACTACAGTCTCATTATACCACTTATATTCCAAGGACCATCTGTAGCCAGTATTACTCTTTTTGCTGGAAGTGAAGAGGTACGTGAGCTCTGGTCAGAGCAAAGGTCAAGGGTAGATAAGGATTCTTAAGCCTCCGGATTAAAATAGACTTAAAATAAGACATTTTACCCAATGTGTGGCATTAACCTCCATAAGATTCTTCTCCTTTCGTCTAGTGCTGTTAACCGGTGCCACTTATTCACCAATATAATCTTATGTTTAGATTTAATTTTATACCAGAACAGATCTTTAGCTGAATACCTACCATGTTCCAGTTAGTTTTAAGCACTTTATTATATGATTTTATAGTCCCTTATAAGGACATAATTATACGGTATTTCTTATATGACGATTTTGACCCATTGCTGACCTGCAGAAAACTGATTGTAGTTTTTGACTGGAAACTGCTGTCCATGATGTTGACTTGTGTATATGTATTATGGATCCAGTCCCACAGTGTATATCTTTTAATTTGTGGACAAAGTGTCATTTGTGTTAGTTGCCTAATGTCTATAGTTTATGAAAAGCAGTGAATTCACACAACCCTTAGACGTCATCATAAATAAATATGCTCACGGGGTGACAGTAAGTAGACTAAGATGGTCATAGCTAAAACTAGTCAGGATATTTGTGTTCTTTTAAAAATTTATGCAGCTGAGAGCTGTGATTTATGGAGCCACAGTCCTTTGCTGTAGGGCCTTGTCAGTGAAAGTAATTGCTGGAGCTGAAAATGTTGTGCATAGATTTGCAACCTTCATAGGAACAGAATCAGTCAGTGTTGATGCAGAAGAAAAACCTCTGAGGGAGAAAAAACAGGCTGTACATCAGAACATGTTTTTAAACTTAATAACTTTTTAATGATTCTGTTAATAAAACATATTGCTTTTGATGTTCTTTTCTTCTCCTGATGAGTATGTATGTGCTAAAAATGTGCACATTGCATTTTGCTACATACCTTTCTTATTCTTTTCACACAGGGTTTTTAAGAAGGCCAGTCCAAATGGAAAGGTGAGTTAAAGTATGTTATTCACAACCATGTAATGAAGAAATTGATAGGAAAAAGAAGATGAAAAGGTTTTCAGCCAGTACTGTTTGCTGGACAATGTATTGGCCTTTAAACAGTAAAGGGCAGGCCAATAGATTGTGAGATCTGACTCACATGATATTGTGCTATTGTTTGATCTGAGATTAAAGGCTTTACAGAGACTCTGCCCCATTGCAAGTCAGATGGAACATCAAAAAATGGCATAATTTATACAAATGGTCATTCATTTAGTAGACAGTGTTATCTTGATTGATTACAACAGTCTATTAGTATAGATTTGCATTTGTCTCTGAGATCGTCATGTGTGATTTCATTTGGAAACCTATTTCTTGTTTGATTAACCTATTTCTTTTTATTATCTTTTTAAGCTCACTGTGTATCTTGGTAAGAGGGACTTTGTTGACCACGTGGACCTCGTGGAGCCTGTTGGTATGCTTTAAATGTTGAAATCTTTTGATATTAATAGTGTCATTTTTTGAACCATTAACCTATCAAAAACAACAAAATACACATTTTCTCTCTCATTTTACTGCCATTTGTTAAACTGCTTAATGTATCCCGGCTGCTTCCTGACTAGGCATTTTAGACTGTAGACTGCCCTTTGGACCTTTAACTCATCTCTGTCATCCATTTTGCAGATGGTGTGGTTTTGATTGATCCAGAGTACTTAAAGGAGAGAAAAGGTGAGGAGAAATCTTTACCCAGCGTATTATTTTCAGTGTGTTTCTACCTTCATGAATAGCACTGTTGCACGATCGTTTAGACTGGTAATCAAACATGTCACTGAGCAGGTTGAATACTAAGTGGCTCTGGCCTCCTTGTCATTCATCCACAGTTTTTGTAACGCTGACATGTGCCTTCCGCTATGGGCGGGAGGACTTAGATGTTCTTGGCTTGACATTTCGAAAGGACCTCTTTGTGGCCAATATACAGGCATTCCCTCCTGTGCCTGAGGAGAAGAAAAGCCTCACACGTTTACAAGAGCGGCTGATTAAAAAGCTTGGAGAACATGCTTATCCCTTCACCTTTGAGGTTATTTCCTAGTCACCATATTGTTCATTACACATACTGTTCAAAACACTTTAGCAGTGTTAATGATTACTCTGAAAGATACAACTCCTTGGATAATAATTCTACATTTTAAAGCCTCCCATAATTGTATTTCATTGGTGACACTATGATTTGATCTCATATTGTCTAACAGATACCTCCTAATTTACCTTGTTCGGTGACATTGCAACCTGGGCCTGAAGACACTGGAAAGGTCAGTATTATACATGACACTATGGTTTAAATCACAAACATGGAAACGAGGAGCTGCAGTTTGAATCACTGTTGGTGAAAGTAACATTCCCTCTCCTTTTCTCACTTCTGCAAAGGCCTGTGGGGTGGACTTTGAAGTAAAAGCTTTCTGCGCTGAAAATGTTGAAGAGAAAATTCACAAAAGGTACAGCGCTTTGATGTAGTCCCTCTGATTGTGAAACAAAATGGTTTGAATACATGTTGGCAGGCAAATGTCTGGTAAACAAAAAAAATTTGGACAAATTTAGTAGGCCATTGAATTGTTTTTGTTACAAGGGTTTCATTTTGAAATAAAAAAAAAGGCTTTTATGCCATCTTGTTTCACAGCAGGAGCATTTACTGAAGTTGTGGCTTACTGGCTTTCAGTTCTTTATGCCAAAACACTGAGTCACCACAATCACAAATGCATTTGCTAGTTTGTTTTGCATGTATAGACACTATGGCTGCAGATTGCAGGCTTCCAAACTCCCCAAGAGTGTATTATACCAAACTACATCTTTAGTTCATTTAAGATTACAAAATAAACATGCAATATCTTGATATAGTATCTCTTTGTACTGTATTATGATGCAGTATATCATTGCATAAATGCAGTATCCCATTGTACTTTATTATGATGCAGTATCTCATTACAGTATCTTATTGTAGTATCTGAATGAAGCATATAAAGATGCAGTAATCCATTGTACTATATTTGTAGCAATTTAAAATGCAGTATCTCATCTTATAAATGCAGTGTCTCATTGTTCTGTATTAAAATGCAGTATCTCATTGCATTATCTTACAATGCAGTATCTTATTGCAGCATTTCACTGTACAATACTAAGATACAGTGTGTCATTGGATTATCTTATTCTACAATATTGATATGCAGTATCTTGGTGCAGCATCTCAGTGCACATTATTAATATGCAGTATCTCATTGTACAATATTAAGATGCACTGTTTTATCTCATACAGCATTAAAATGCAGTCTCTCATTGCAGCATCTCATTGTAATATTAATTTACAGTATCGTATTCTCTCTCTTGGCATAGGAACTCAGTGCGTCTCATCATCAGAAAAGTGCAGTATGCTCCAGAGAAGCCAGGTCCACAGCCAATGGCCGAAACAACAAGACAGTTCCTAATGTCAGATAAGCCTCTACACCTGGAGGCTTCGCTGGACAAAGAGGTGACTGGGTTATCAGGACAGCCAGGAGTGAAGCCAGGAGATTACAGTTTATGATAGGAGTTCACAGGCCTCCTCCTTTACTGTACGGTGTGGTTTAGTGTTTTCCCTGCTCTGCCACACCTCATTTGTTAACTATTATTTTTTTATGAGGTGGATAGCATGTGTTAACTTCAGGGAAAATACAGATTTGTGCAGTACAGGAAGATGTCTGGATGAGAAGCACTGGGACTATGATAATCCTCAGGGTGCATGGTTATTTGTCTAACATGATGGTACCATCTAGTGGTTGAAATAGGGTGGGCACATTTCAAGTACTACAGATTGGCTTACGTGAGGATTTCACCAAGTTTAACTTGGTGTTCTACTTACAGCACAGCCAATGTTTATAGACATCTCAGGCACAGTATAAGATTCTGCTTATAAAATTAAAATGACTCAGAAATAGATGTAATATTAAAACTAAACATTCTGTTTTGTGTCTTTATGCTTTCCACATCATTCAGATTTACTACCATGGCGAGCCAATTAGCGTAAACGTCCACGTCACAAACAACACAAACAAGACTGTGAAGAAAATGAAGATTTCAGGTTTTTCCTCTCTGCATTTAAAATGCATTTAATAGAGTAAAAAGAGTATTTGTTTGATAAAGTTCATGAAATGACACATTTTCACTGTTACAGTGCGTCAGTATGCTGATATTTGTCTCTTCAACACTGCTCAGTACAAGTGCCCAGTAGCGACAGAGGAATCAGAGTATGTACACAACACATTTGTATTTGAAACAATACAGTACGACGGTAATACATCTGACTAATATCTTTACTCTGTGATTATCTAGTGACATTGTGGCTCCAAGTGCAACATTCTGTAAGGTATATACTCTCACCCCCTTCCTCGCCAACAACCGAGAGAAGCGTGGCTTAGCCCTAGATGGAAAGCTCAAACATGAAGACACGAATTTAGCCTCAAGTACATTGTGAGTACATGTACATACATGGTCTAAAATGTACATTAAAAATAAAATAAAATGTGCACTAAACATATACAGCAGGCATGTCTAATTGCGGACCCTCTGGGCCAAAGTGCTGCAGAGATTAGCGTTTACCCTCATCTAACACTCTGAATTCAGTACATGAAGGCAATGCTAATTAGATGATGAGCTGAATCAGGTGTGTTTAGTGAGGCACCGTGCTGAAGTCTGCAGTGTTCTGGCCTGCAAGGACTGGAGCCTAACACGTGATATACAGACTTGCCAAAAATGGTTCTTTGACATGTAACAATAACAGAACCATTTTTGGTGGTATGTAGGACATTTTTTAGAAGACTCTCCGAAGAACTGTATGCCACAGGTTTTGTGAATTTGTGAAATTATGCATTTAAATGGTACTTTTGTCACAGTTGTATATATGGCATTAGCAAACAGTTTTGTTGATTTTCTAAATGAAAATGATCACACATCCTTTACTACAGGGAACAAACCTAAATATGGCATTTTGTCTGCAAATTTACTGCACAAATTCCTTTTTTTGGTTTAACGTATTGCCCTACGATGGACTGGCGACCTGTCCAGGGTGTATCCTGCCTTCCGCCCAATAACTGCTGGGATAGGCTCCAGCACCCCCTGCAACCTAGAAGGATAAGCAGTTTAGAAATTGTGTGTGTGTGTGTGTGTGTGTGTGTATTTTAGCATATTGGGAAAAAATAAAACACATTTTATTGTTTTTTCCCCCAATATGTTAATGTCAGCAAATAAACAGTAATTGCACATTAAAATGTACAGAAGTTTGTTCTCTGTAGAGGATGTATTAACTTATTGTCACTTAGAAAATCAACAAAACATGTCATTCAACCAGGGGAGCCCAAACCTTTGCATACAACTGTATAACCATTGCCTTTACTAAAGAAATCTTGCAGAAGCAATTTTTAAAGGGTGCAACAAAGCAGCCTTTAAAAGTTAAAAGCATAAGAGTTCTACAAAAAAAAGCATAAAAGCTTGGATGTACAGTTCTAGGAGAACCTTTTTTGGAGCGTTTTATGTTATGTACAGGTTCTTCATACTAACACAGCTCATCTCTAAAAATGACTCTTTAAAGAACCATCAATTGAAAGGGTTATTTTGGGAAGCAAATGTAGCTGCTCTATAGCATCTTTTTTGACACCTTTATTTTTAAGAGTGTAACTTGTGATTGGTTGCAATGCTCTTTTGTGATAGTGACCTGTGATCTCTTTGTCCCATGAAGGTTACGAGAGGGAGCCAATAAGGAAATTCTGGGTATCATTGTGTCCTATAAAGTGAAAGTGAAGCTGGTGGTGTCTCGTGGTGGGTAAGTTTGAACTTGCATTGAGTTAAGTGGGTTTCAGTATAAAGTTGTCTGCTGAGGTTGGTTTGGCCTTAATTACTATGATAAAACTCTAAATATCACTAATGGCAAATTCAGTTGAAATCGTATTAGTGTGTTAATCCATAGCAAAGTGGACTTCAGCATCAACAGCCAAGTTCAGCATCAACAGCCAAGTGCACTGTGTTTCTCATTTACTACAGCTACTCTTAGCAATTTCTCAAACAAAAAATTAAACTTTGGGGAGAAAAAATATTAATATGTAATTAATAATTAATATGACAAACCTGTGAACATATCTCAAAATAGCTGAGGTAATAAATATATTTGTTTTATTCTTCTCAGGCTCCTGGGAGATCTCGCCTCCAGGTACAGTAATCTCAATATGATCTTGTCACTTTAGTTGTGTTTATGTATGTGAACTGGCTGCTGAATGAGGACTCTGTATGCGTGTTTGGGTGAAGTAGGCTATGAAGCAGAGATGAGAGCTGTCTTGAAGAAGAATTTCACTGTGTGGGAAAAGCCATTAAAAAAAGAAGAGAAAAAAGAAGAAGGAAATATGCTGTAATTCCACAATGACAAAAACATACAGTGGGGTCCAAAAGTCTGAGACGCTACTGAAAATGCTTCTATTTTCCATTAATTTCTAATTTAATACAGAGTATTTCATGACAAATTACATTATCAGCACAAAAGCCAGAGTGAAAAGTAGAATCTTTGAAATTTTAACATGGGTTTCATAATTTCTGAGTATTTGGTAGATTATGTTCCCTATTTGCTTTAATGACAGCTTGTACTCCAGCTGAAATTTGTGCAAAAGCCTCTGCTGAATAAATCAAATCCACCTAAGAGCCTTTATGGTCAGTAACACAAATTTGCTTAAATTTCTTTGTTAGAACAGTACATTTAGAAGAGCACAGGTATGATTCCTGACTTCTCATAGACTTAATTTACAAATGAAATTCCATCAGCTCATATAATTATATAATTAATTAAATCAAGGGTTGATTAGCTGAAGCTTATGTTAAATGGTAGCTGTAAATGCTGGAGACATCCTTAAGGAGAGCTTTGAAAATAGGTAAACAAACACATTCATACGCCTCAAATCACAAAGGACTGTGTATTTGTTTATTAGTTTTGTTTATTTGTTTATTATTATTTATTGTAATGTTAGCGGTTTATATATATATATATATATATATATATATATAATACCTGGCCAATAAAGCTTGATTCTGATTCTGATAAGCATAACAGCAGCATGTAATTAATAAATGTTTTTATTTAATTATTCATTATACATTTGTAATTAAACATTACCTGCACTGCTGAATTTAATATCTGTTGTGTTATACTATATGACGCTTCCAAATTATACTGTAGAAAAAAAAATACACAAACTTTGTTGTACTGGGACGATTCATGAAGTCATAATCTCACTGTCAAGATTATGTATAGTCAGGTTTATTCACAGGTCTCAAAAGGCAGTAGAGTTATTATCCAACAGAAAATGCTTACAGAAGGAGATGCCATAAAATAAATATATAAATAAATAAAGAGCAGATTCAGATATTTCACTTAGGAGTGAGCAGGTAGTGAACAGTCAGAGCTGCTAGAGAGCATCTCTATATTTGTAGGTTCACACCTCTGCTTATCCTCACACTTTGCTTTTTTTTCTCTAGTGATGTCGCAGTAGAGCTGCCCTTCACGCTAATGCACCCTAAACCAGTAGAGGAATCCATCTACAAGGACAGTATGTATATGACAGAATCTATTTGAATTGACTGATCATGCTCTCTTATTGAATTAGTGGATGAGTAGGCAATGGGTTACCTTAACCAGCAAGCTTTGCAAACATCATCTATGTGCGTCTGCTGTTCCTGTTTGCTGGTTATGTCAGAGCCATTTAAGAAAGCAGTAAGGATGCAATAAGCCAGTAGTCTAAAGAACCTGTGGAAGTTCCTTCTGTATGCTTTGGATTCTATTTTCTCACTCATTACGCAGGATATGCTCACACTTCAGCATGTTCTCTTCCTGTGCACTTTGCTATACATTTAAAAACAGACAAACTAAAAAAGTGCAGTGTGCTAAGAAATATGGCTTGTCAGAGATGTCAAATAAATTCAGAGAAAACATTTTAATTAAATAAGAATTCCACTGATTTTACAAAATTTCTACATAATTCCATCCATGAGATGTCAACAAAGTTATTCCATCTGAGTCATTTACTCAGATGTCTTTACAGTGGTGGTGAAATGAACCAGGGCTTGCGATGTCTACAACACAAACATAGCCATTTTACTTACTTTCTAAAATCACCACTAAATCTACACCTGTCATCGGGTTTTTATATCTAATGTTGATAATGGGGAAATAGTGGCAAATCTGAAAAATTTAGTTCCCTAAAGTTTGTAAGGCTATTTCATTTTACATACATGCTGCATGTATCTCTCTGCCGTAAATGGCCCAAAAAGTTTCTCAGAATCATCTAAAAACAATGTGTCTGGCACCTAGCAGTGTATTCATAACTATTTTATATAACAGCTTTCTTTGAAGTAGATTTTAGATGCATTAAATGATTCAGATGCTTGTTGCTATCACCACAGTTGTGAACAATTCTGGCAAAGTATGTTTCTCTGTTTCACAACTACTCGGAATGACTTGACATCCTAATGGCTTAATTATGCATTTACTAACATACTCACAGTCCTGAGTCCTGTCTAACAGTAGATGACGTGGGATAAAACATGTAAAGACATTCAGTCAAAGCTCTAGAGGGGTTTGGTGTACTCCAGGCACTTATATTTGTGTTCTGTTGTCAGCAGATGCTTTATTCTGGACTGCCTTCCAAATAGTTAATTGTAGTTTTGGAGGTTTGATTATCACAGGATGCAATTGACTCCTGCTGTTGTCCACAAACCATTGCCTCTCTGCCCACACTGACTTTTTTTTGCTGCTACCGCCTCCTTGTTTTGGGAAATGTGATTATCCTCCACTACATTTACTGCTAACTGATCACATCTTAAACCAGCTAATCTGTTGTCCCTTACAATCTTTTGATTGTGGAATTAAGAAGATTACGTGCAACAATCCACGAGTGCACTTTGCTCACACTGAGTTTTCTCAGTGCTCCCCCGGTACTTCAGTCAGAAACAGAAAAGATTACTCTTTAGGATGATTTGCCCCATTTGCATTCTCTTCCAGGCTCAAATGTTTAACTTTGAGTTAACTTTTAAACCACATATGGCTCTTTGAGTCCGTCCAGGCCTCTTAACCAACCCATGCATTTCAGGAGATTAAACCCACTACCCACTTTTGTTTTTTTAAATCAATTTATGGGTTAGCTACTGCATGGAAGTGGTGTTTGGTACAGTAAATCAGTCAGTCAAAAAGGCACACTTAACATTCAAATGCAGTAAAGGGATAACGCTGAGCATTCCAGTCTCTTTTGTGTTTTTTTTTTCGAAGTTTAAGAAATGTGCTTATCAACTCTGTCACCCTGTAGTCATTTACCCTGTTCTGCTTTCTTTTCTGTGGTAGTTCCAGAAAACGATGCACCCATTGACACAAACTTGATTGAGTTTGACACAAAGTAAGTAGTTCCTATTCATTTTTTCTTATTCAGTTATACATGGATGATTCTTCCAAATTAGTTCCAACTGTGGTCCAACATTAACTTCTAAAAAAAAAAACCAAAACAAACAAAAAAAGAAACAATTAAGTATTCAGATCTTCAATATTTACAATGATTATGTTCTAATCTATTTAAGCTTAAGGCATTAATTGAGATAGTAATAAGCTAAAAATATACAAAATCATCATTTATATGATATTTTCTATTGGGAGGTGGCTGTCCAAAACCCTCACTCCTAAAATTTAAACTCTAACTTTCAACAATTTTTTTGTATATTTTTTTAAAGATCTTTTAGATTTTTGTTTAAAGTGAAGTTGAAAGATTTAGATTTGTCATGTGTTCAATGTTTATATAAAAAATGCATTCAAAAAATGCTGTTGTGTATTTTCATGTCACTACCAAAGCACATGTTGTGTTTGTAGTAGCCTACTCTATACTGTATACTGATTCTGCCTAAAAGTCAGAAATAGTATGCAGGTCCTGATCATAAAATTATGGGCCCCTGTGCACAAATGTTACATAGGCCCCTACCTAACTACTTTATTTGGGTGGTCAGTGATTTTTTTTAACGATATCACACCAAGTTAAACAAGGCTTATGCGGCACCACAATGGCAACATACTACCTGCAGCGTTGGCATGTCAGTTTGAGTTCTCTGTGATGTACTGCATCCTAAAATGCAACGCAGCTATTCTGGGAGGACATAACCACTGATGGTAACTGCCTGGATTTTTTAATAGCCCTGGATTCAGCCTTTCTTCCATACATTAAAAACAGCAAAATAAAAGAAATTTGGCCAAATGCTGCTGCAGTCAGTGCAACACTGAAACCACACCAGCTTTCTCTGCTGATCTTGCCATAGGCTTGTTTACTTTGTCCATTTAATAGTTAACTGTGCATAATATGCATAAAACAGTAACTCAGCATCGGCTATTCAGACTCGTGTGGTGTCACACTGCTTATTATTCAGTCTCTAGCTCATTACACACTATTTGAGTGTAATGAAAATGAAATGACTTGCTAGCGAAGAAAAACAGGAGTGTGTGGAAACCACACAGGTTTACCACAAAGTCCAGTCCAAAGCTGACATTTTTAAAGTTTATTTTTGGCCCATCTCTCGATCAAAAATATAAACATACATGCTGAAAAGCAGCTAGCAATGGTTGCATATTTACTGGAGCAGTATGCAGTATACAGCACACAGTATGCTTTTTTGAACACAGCCACATTTTTAGTCAATGAGTGGAGCTTTATTTTAGCCACACCCCTGCATTTTGAAGCAGGAAGTGTGACTGCATACGTGTTTCTCATGGCCACATGGTTTTAAAGGCCCTTTTGTTTTAAAGTAAATGTGTCCCAAATGCTAGTCACATACTGGCTAGCATTTTAGAGTTAGGCTCATCTTTATCATAGATTTATATTTTTGTGACATAACGGTGGGTATAATAATATTTATTGTTATTGTGATAAATTAGGTCACATTGTGTCACAACACAATTTTCTGAGCATATAAAGGATATGATTAGTTATTTTTAACTAATATTGTTATGCATTTCATGTATTGTGAACATGTATCTTGACGTATTTTTAGATGTGAAGCACATAATGGACCTGGCTTGTAACTCACTCACTCACTCACCCTCTCACTCATGTTTAGCAGGCTGAAGATTCTGCACAAGGTGGTGCTGTTAGCACTAAAATAACTTTTGTTGATTTGCATCAGTGACACCAGAGAATATCTAGTGAGGAGAATTGCCACTCAGTAATTTCTTCCAAGTTTGTCAGATGCCAGAGGGTGCTCCCAGTCGAGTTCACACTGAATGGGTTCCTTGATGCAGAACTGCATAAAGTGGGGGTCCAGAGTGGCACAGCCATCTGAAGCGTCATCAGAAGATTGTGAGCTTGATCTCTGGCAATGCCACAGCCATTCATGGCTAGCAAAATTGGCCTCAGTCTCTATGGGGGGGATAGGATGGTCCTCCTTCTTCCACCATCACCCAGTGTGATTCTGAGCAGTGTGGCCTGTTAGTTGATGTAACAGAACTGACAGTTACAACTGACAGCTGACATTGCGTTAGCAGCAGTTTGAAAAGAAGCAGCGCCAGCACTGTCAGTGGTATCATGTGATAGGAGGAGAAATAGATAGCAGACATGACTGAATTGGGTGGAAAACTGGGGAAATATTTTTGAGCCCTTTTGAACTCGTCACAGGACTTTCTTACAGTTCCTTATGTACATTCATGATGTCCATAAGCATAAACCGCTTTACTTCCAATGAGCTGATCAACTCGCCAAGCAGTCAGCACTCAGTAGCAGTAATGCTAGCATCCTACTGTCCAAAACCTTTTTGCTGTAGATAAATGAAAAGAAACAGGTAAGTTTTCTTTTGATTCCTAAATGGAATACATCATTCTACACTCCAAAGTAAAGAGAGTTCAGAGTTTGTTTCATTTAGCTCCATTCACCACCCCCAATTATTGGGGACACGAAGGTACACTTTTTTTTTTTTTTTTGGTATAATGAGAGAAATAGGAAGTGGCCAGACTCCCCATAAACAGACTCTGATGACAATGTATGTTCTTGACATAGCACCCTGAGGTACACAACTATAAGCACAAACCATAGTTCATTACATATTAGGAGTGTAGCACCACAATACTTATGGACAACACAGTCATAATTTGCTGATCAGCACAAAATGAAGCGAAAGTAGAAAACAGCATTTCAATTCTCCTTTTATGTCATAATTTGTTCCCAGCGATGATGACATCATCTTTGAAGACTTTGCACGACAGCGACTCATCGGGGCAAAAGATGACAAAGATGAGGATGAAGAAGGTACAGATTCGCCTAAGCTGAACGACAGATAGACAAAGAAGACAAATGTTCTACTGTATCACAGCATTAGAAATGGAATGAGAACCCCATGGAGAAAAAACCTGAAGTTTGGGACACCCTTTAACACACTCACTGTGGTGCAGTTGTTGTGGTCCTGTTTACATATGTCTTCTCCATCCTGAAAGGGTGTAAAAAAAAATGTGTTGAAAAACATGACCTCGTTGTCAAAATATTTAGCGGTGAGATTTTGGTTCACTGGCCACCTACTGAGTGCCTATGATGTTTTGAGGGTTTTTCATGGTAAGAGGAATAGCTTTTCATCATATTTAAATGAACTTCAATGGTAGCATGCCTTTGTTGTTAGTTTGTTTTACATGTTCTTCTTTCCATTAGAATGAAAAGAAATTTTAGAGACCATAACTTTGTATTTAAATCTATTAAAGTACATATGTTCTAAACACTGTGTAAAGAAACAGAAGTGTTAATATGAACACTGGTAAACTGGTGTCTTTTAATGGACAGTCTTGCAGTGATTATTGAACAAAGGCATATAAGTGTGAAACAGTTAAAACTGCTCAGACTGAAATTCATTTTTTGCATCAATATTGTAGGTTACTGCCCAGATTCAACCTCAAAACCTTTCAAACTAACATAAATTAATGGTTTTGTTATTCTTATCGGTACTCACAAAGTCAAGGCCTTGTAATGATGCGGGTTGTCTGTTTTCTTTTTTCTTAAAACCAGTTGATAGCTCCTAGACATGGGTTGCTGTTAAAACAACAGCACTGTAAAATGTTACTGCTGTCTTATTGGAATATCAGTCATGTGCTGAAATTAGTGCTGAACTAGTAAAATAGTATTTTGTTTTTTAAAGTAATGCAAATATAGCCACATAACGTCTTGCTGAATATTTGGGACAGGCCCCTTGGTGGTCATCAGAAAAGAATATCTATGTCTGACCCAAACACTGTTTAAAGGGCATGTTTTCCTCAGGCAACCATGAGGCCTCACTTTACATGTCCACATAACATTTATTACCATTATTTGAAGACCTCTGTAGTAGCAGTTTCTCTTAGGGCACTTCTCTTGCAACAAAATCAAATTCACACTGAAATCATTATTGTGTTCTTTTCTTCACATTAAATATGTACATTGTAAAGACAGACCACTCAAATCATAGATCAGCTTTCTTTATGAATGAGGCCTTGATTTGCTGCATGAAACATGTCAATACTTTCTATGTTTTCCAGATCATTATTTTGTAACATGAAGACTGATATTCCATTGTTTGATATTGTCCAATGACCTGGAACCTGGAACAGGACTACACGTTACATACAGACCTAATTTAATACAAAATGAGATGGCAAAACATGTAAATGGATAAAGTGTTCATAATATGAAGATAAAGTACACTATATATTAAATATACTTTATGTTGGATATATTAAAGTGTGTCTCTTCTTGAAATCCTGTCTTTCTGTATGTGTGTACTTAGTGTGCTTCAAGTGTGCATACTGTGAACACTGACATTTCAGCGAGATGTGACAAGTGAATCTGTTTTGAGGGAGTCTCTTAGTGTCACCCATAGCCAGACAGTCCACTGAACATTCTTGCTGTTTACATGTTCTTACCAGCAGGTGGCATATGAATGCTGTCTAACCACAAGAGCTACTCTGTGTGCTCAAAGCAGATGGATTTAGACTGAACCACTCCCAGCTGCTCCTATTTTGCTATTTGCCTGCTGAAAGCATACACTGTATACACCTGTACTGCACATTCCAATATGAACAGCTTTAGTTTTTATGCAAAGTAATTCTAGAACAAGGGCATATACACGCAATGAATGCATTGCGTAAAGCCTTGACTGAATTATCACAGTTAAAAAATTATTATATTCTATTCCACTTATTACAGAGTTCAATAAATAGATTAACTTATAGCATGCTTTTGATCAAAACCTACATTAAGGAGCAAAATAAACTTATATGAAAAAGTACTCACAATGTACAGATACACTATATGGACACACCTCTTAATTGTTGAATTCAGGCATTTCATTCAGTCCCATTGGCACAGGTGTATAAAATCAAGCAACTAGCCATGCAGTCTGCCTTTACAAACATTTGTGAAAGAATGGGTTGTTCTTAAGAGCTCACTGAATTTGAGTGTGATACTGTAATAGGATGCCATCTCTGCAACAAGTCAGTTTGCGAAGTTTCTTACCTTCTAGATATTCCATGATCAACTGTGAGTGGTATTACTGAAAAGTGGCAGCGTTTAGGAACTACAGCAACTCAGCCATTAAATGTCAGACCACATAAAGTTACAGAGTGGGGTCACTGAGTACTGAGGCACATAGTGCACAAAAGTCGCCAACACTCTGCTGACTCAGTAACTGCAGAGTTCCAAACCTCCTCTGTCATTAACATCAGCACAAGAACTGTGCGCTGGGAGCTTCATGGTATGGGTTTCCATGGCTGAGCAGCTGCATGCAAGCCTTACCTTGTAAAGCACACCGCCACTGGACTCTAGAGCAGTGGATACTTATTCTGTGGAGTGATGGATCACGCTTCTCTATCTGGCGGTCTGATGGACGAGTCTGGGTTTGGCGAATGCCAGGAGAACATTACCTGCCTGACTGCACTGTGCCAACTGTAAAGTTTGGTGGATAATGCTATGGGGTTGATTATGTATTGATATAGTTGTTCATTTTTGTGTGGCTGATGTAGCGTGTTTCTGCTTCAACCAGTACTAAAGCACTAAAGACTCTTATTGTTTTCTTTTTTAAGTTTTTACTTGATTGTAAATTATTTGAGCCCATAAACATGACGTGCGTGTATCTGTGGTTTTTACGTTTGGTCAAACGCAACTAAACGTTTGCTTCTAGAACCTGCTAGAACGCTCCTCAGCCCTGACGCCATTTTCAAGTTCAACTGATTTAAAAACTGTTAAGGAAACGTAACAAGGTATGGTCACTTTAATGTGTTTGTCTTTGTTTATTAAAGCAGCACTATGAGAGAATTGGTATTTTTTGCAGTTCCACTTTTACACTAATGTCGTAATAACAAGCACGCTTAAGCCCCATGTGCACGTGCATTTGTTGACAAGCTGAAGGATACAGAATCCGACTCCCCTTCCTGTGCATGCGCGTCTCGCAGGCGTATTAGAGGAAAAAGAACCATGGAGGTGGAGTAACATTAGAGGGTTTTATTACAGAAGGTTGCAAACTTTCAAGGCTTATTTTGGGCGAGATTGACAAATACTTACCAAACTCATTGACATGGGATGAATTCATTTATTTGCATGCTGGCCTGAAACAGGGCTGAGGTTAGATGAGTTTTAGCGTCCAGAAAAACTAGCTAAAGAAACTCCACCCAGATAATGTTACAGTCTACATCACAACATTTCATTAATCGTCCATTGGCAGAGATGTAACCTACATTCTGCTTTAGGATTTCCGTTGTTTACCCGTAAGCCGTGACACTGTCCTGCATCCTTTTATCTCCTTTAGCTCTCGCCAACGAGTAAACACCAGTCCGAGATGTACTCCTGTCCGGTCACGGTCTCTTTTTCTCTTCCTTGCTTTTTTGACAATGTCTTCTTCGGTCTTCTGACAGCCTCTGCTGTTTTGTCCATGCCAGGAATATCGCGCTAACTCAGCTGCTTAAAGCGAGCTAAAGACCTGTAGTTGTTGATGTGTGACCTGGTACTGTGAAACGTTACAGTTCTCGCGAGAAGTCGAAAGGTCTCGTGCCCCTCGAGCCCGCCGTTCTAAAGTTACATAGCACTGTAGGCCGCGTTCCGGGCCTTGAGCAGCAACGAGAGACGCTGTTCTAGTAAAAGTCAGTGTACCATCAAAGTGATTTTGAAACTGTTATTTTAAGGTGAAAAGTTACATAATGTTGCTTTGAGGCAGACTGTACGGAGGCCCGGAAGGGACGGAGGTAAAAATTCGAGTGAACGTTTTGCAGTCTGTACACATGTTTCCTTTTAATTCGTGGTCATGATTAACAATCAGTTCTCTCATTTTCTTTTAATTATGCAGATTTTCTTTACTTCGTGGGTGCGTTTTTTCAATTCGTGATCATGATTTTCTGATTCGTTCTTTTTTTTCTTTTAATCGTGGTCATGTTTTCTTTTTAACTGAACACAAGTTGTTTGTTTTTTTTATTCAAGCGCAAACAAAATAAATGTAGTAGATACTGGCCACTGTCTGACAGGTTTTGATGAGTTAGATCGATGAGATAATAGACAGAGATGCTCATTAGGGTTGATTTTGATTTGGGGGCGTTATGAGGAAACTGTAGCTCCTCTTCACAGCAAACGGCCCCACAGATTCATCAGTGCAGCTGCAGTTTGGTGGTGAGATGAAGGAAGACAATAAACTACAATCACAATCTTCACTAAACTGCACTTTCTAATGATTATATTTAACAGAGATGAAGACACAGTGCAGCCACTTAGCCCTGTTTCTGCTCTCACATCAAGCTGCGGTGTGAGAGATCATCACACAATTACAAGAAGAAATGATCAGCGTTTCAACAGCCTCACATTAATATATCTACATCTAATCCATGGATCTATTAAACTGTCTCGCCATTTGACCTCATCCCACATTAATGTTTCTGTTTGTGTTTAATTTGAGTTTGCTCAAACGTTGACGCTGATCATTTCATAACCTCTTCAGTTATTCAATCGAGATTAATTAACTGCACAAGTTCACTTTGACGATTTTCCTGTGAACAGCTAATGTTAAGGGTTGAAAAAGCTAATCTAACTCACTTGCTAATGCTACATGCTACACGCTATATTCGTTGTCATCTTAAATCATCTTCTGTGTATTTTTATTCATATTTTTATAGTCCCTGATGATTAATTTAAAATTGTATGGTAGTTAGTTTAAAAACGGCCAATTTAATTATTGGCTTGTCATTTCTGTTTTTCTGAAATCACCCAGTGTTAAAAACAGTTGTTGCTCTGCTGAACATTTAAATAGATTTAGGCTACTGTTTCTCCATAGTTGATTAAAAAGGCTTAGCCAATCCTAAACATTACTGCTGATTGAAAGTGCACATTTAAATAAGCTCTGCTTTCACTGTCACAAGTGGTAATAAAAAACCTAATACTGTATCCTAGAAAAATAACTATTAACGAGACTATTAACTAGACTATCAACTAAAACTAGAATTGGTTTAAGGACTTTTACTTGAGCTTTGGGTGAATCATGAAATGTGCCAAACTATTGTGTTGTGCACATTTTTGATCTCCTACTATTCAAGTCTTGCTATGCCATGGCCACCTCAAACTAGCTTGACAATAATGGTCTGGAGTAAATTGGTTTTCACAGCTGGAATTTAATGTCTTTGAGTT